ATGTGGTATCAAGAGCCATGGTTGTCTTCAAGGGTAACTTGTCTATTCTCTTTTGTGTCTTCTAAATGTTTCTTGTCATGTCTATGTCTTTTCATATGTCTTGATTTTATCCTCTCAAATATTGCTTAAAATGTTGTCTTCTTGTTGAGTGGTTCATTGTTGGTTCATGAGCCTTCTTTTGTTGTGCTCTAGGTTTCCTTTAAAATAGGTTCTTGTGTGCTTTTCTCCATTTTCACCTTTGCTGGAAAATTTTGTCAAGAACATGATGAACACTTTATGAACCCCATTTTAATCTTTATTTGTCCAAGTTTTTTCTCAAGTTTGTGTTTCTCTCACTTTTTCACCCAAGTACCAAGTATATGCATGACTCCTTCATTTGATGCATGTTTTCCTTTCTAAGTGGCTGGCCAAAAATTTTGCATGTTCTTAGAGGTCATTCATGCATGTTATTTAGTTCATGACATGTTCTAAAAGTTTGTTGAATCCCATGTGGATTTGTCTCCTATACATGCATGGTTAGCCACCCCTACATGCTTATTATTACATGATCATCCCTTGTCCTTTTTATGACAACCAAGTAGTGTTTTTTGCTGAAAAAATCTGCCAAGAATGTGTGTGTTTGCTGGAAAAAACTGCACCAAATTAGTACATAGTACAAGACACATTCCACCTTACAAAAGTTGTTTTTTACATGCCACTTGTCCTTTTTTGTCTCCTATTTTTTGTGCTACTTTTAATTCACCCACAAGTGTAAAAACCAAGCATCATACAAGGTTAAAATTCAAAAAAAAAAAAAAATTGACCAAGGGGCTGCACCATAAAAACTGGCGTGAAAATAGAGAAAAGAAAAAAAATTCAAAGGAAATTTGTTGCTAGACTTGTGTACAATTACCATTTTACCCTTGCACACTTGGAGTGGAATTGGACCATTTTTGGACCGATATTTGGACCCATTTTATGACCAAAACCGTGGCTGGACATTAAGGAAAAGACCTCACATTAATTTTAAGGACAAGGAACATTAAACACTTAATTATATTCTAGAACCCTTCTAGGATTTCCCTTTG